AAGGGTGGCGAGGGGTGTGAGGGTGAAAGGTGGGAGTCGAAAGGCACACCTGGGAAGAAAATTCGTGAATCGTGCTGCGAACTGCTGAGTCAAACAAGAGAATTTCAGCCAATAGAAACAGTCGCACTCAGAGCCACACATCGCGACCCAAAAACACAAGCCAAGTTTGCGCCCAGCACAGCACTTACGCAACTCTTACTCTGCCACACACAAAACAACTTGACCTGCATTTTTGTCTTCAAACCCAGATGCCTTCGAGTTTTCGATACGCTTATAGCAGCCAGCTAGACTGAGCGGCTCGAACAAGTATTTATATACCTCGTACGATAAACCATTTCATCTTAGGGTTACGACATCCAAAATTGTTTAGGGTTGAGCGATGCACGTGCGATGGACCTCCACAACATACTGATACACAATTGAAGGACGGTGAGATAGGGATTAGGAGCAAAATGCCACCTAGTTTATGGTGTTATGGAACGAAGGGGCTAAGAGGAGTAAGTGCGGACATGCAGAAGGAGCCTCTCGTTTAACCAATTCTAAAAAAAATAGTCTACTTAGGTCTCGTATACCATAGGGAATTGCAGACGCTTTACAATAGATACTCGCCATCATATCACCGGCCGTCAGGAGGATGGCCCGTCGACCTCCCAAGGATGCTTCACAAAGGTACGTAAGAGCTCATGACCACCTCAAATTGGCACGAACATCGCTCATTTGCATAACATTCTGAAAGTAGCGGAATGCACCATTTTTATCCAACACATTAGCGAAATTCCATGGCATAGAACATTCGATGAGTATGACTGGCTGTACTCAGATGCGCCTCGTAAGTAGTGCAGCAGTGTCACTCATATGCTTCGCGTCACTACCGTGCTATATAAGCAGAAGGGTCATGAGAGGATGCCCACATGCACAAACAAACGTATGAAGATTATGATACAATGCTTGCACTACCAAATACCATACACCTAAAAAAGCATGCAATTATAGCCCAGTCCTTCGTACTAAGGCTGCCATGACGCACTCCCCCTCCCCCCCCCCCCCCCTCGTCCCATGACAAGCCCTTGATACCGTCTTATGCCAGTCTTATGCCAGTCTTATGCCTTCAACGTTGCGGGTTGTCGGCATTGATGAGAGGCAAGAACAAGGCGACAACATCGGACGTGCTGTACTTTTATATGATGAATGCTCCGACCGCATATAAAAGGCTAATGCGGGTAGCTAAAGCCGTAGGTACATGGGAGAACCGATTGTGGGAGGGAAAAAGGGTTGGTGGGTGATTGTTTTGAAGATATCATGGGCCCCAGACCATACGCATATTCCTCTGCTCATCTACAACCATTGCCTATGTCCAAGTGCACATGGGGGAGAAGCATTAGCAACAGCGGAGCTGCATCTTGAGGCATACAGGCGACAGTTCAATGCACGAGTGAACAATGGGCCTAATGCAGCTACAGGGATAATTGGGAACGAGGACATCCGACTTGAGGGTCTGGTTTACAACTTCCCGGCCTACAAAGAGGACAGACGGGGCAGATTACGCCCAGTCCGTGGGGTTGGTTGAGGAGGTGCCCGAAAGGGGAAGGCCTATGAACGTGCGCGCACACAAGGTGAGAAACCATCACACCTCAAATTTGGGTATATATAGCGTGTGACAAACTGATGTTGAGCCTGCATATACTCGTAGAATGAAAGTGCGTGTATATATTAATGATTTTGATACATGGCATGTGTGCAGAGGTTGCCCAGTGAACAGGAGCTGAAACGGAGGGGGTTGCTCCTAGCCTGCAACCAGAGACATGCACGATTGCTAGAGCTGAAAGCAGCCAAGAGCACGCTGTACTCCATGAAGCCGGAGTACCAGATCAAGCCCAATTGTGAGACACTGCGTTCATGGAGTTGGTCGAACGAGTTGTAAAACTGGGGGTGGTGTTGAATAAATAGGAGAGAATTGCAGACATGCACCCCCACACGCGCACGCACACACCCACACATGCCCGCACGCGCGCACGAGCGCATAAGCATACACACACATGCGCATGCACATGTGGCCCCATGCAGTCACATGCGCACACACCTTTGGCACCACGCAGTCACATGCGCACGCGTGTTCAGCACCATGCAGTCACATGCCCACGAACCTGTGGCATCATGCAGTCTGCTTGATGCGGGTCGAAGGTGAGCACTGCAGCACTCAAACATGTGCTCCACCTCAAACCCACTCGGCACCCTGCCATTGCTCGTGACAGGCCGTGGTGGGGGTTGGTAATGGGTAGTGATGGGTGGTGATGGGTGGTAACGGGTGGCGATGGTAGGTGGAGAGTGGTGATGGGAGTGCACGCACATATAATAGTGAGCAACTACGAATAAGATGGGCTTCTTGAGTGCACTCTCAAACTAGCCCTCTCACTCGAGCTCGCTCAATGCCCTAACAAGGAAACGCAGGCCCAGAATATCACTTTATACTGTCACAACAATCAATTTTCACCCATTGCTCCATTTTCCTGCCTTCGCCTCCGCCTCAGCCCAACTTCCCACGTTACCCATGCTGATGTCCTTGCATCAAGGCGGCATAGTTGGCCTGCAGAGGAAGCTCCGTGGGCGCTCATACTCCTGCATAAATTTAACTTGGATGATGAAGCTCACCTTAGGAGTCCTCGATGAGTTGTGTACGCATGATAGGACGTACCATCAATCAGCGTATCAGGTTGTAGCCCGTGTTGAGAAGCTTGATGACGTGATTAATGTAGGATGCCGCCGAGTATTCAATGCCACCCATAGAAGTCTGTCATAATCCGCCAAGCATGGTTGCAGCTCTCCATTACCGACTCTTGCTTGCCTATGTTGATGTTGGTTTCCGCTGCTCAAATTGCCCAATGTAGAGGTCGTCGGTCGCCTTGTAGGCCAACATGATAAACTGCAACGCTTTGGAAGCCAACGTCCACCCGAAGTCGGCAAGGCTTCAAAGCAACTTGCACCATCGCGAGCAGCATCAAGCAATGACCATGGACGTTAGCAGGTGGGCGGCGCAGGAATCCATCCAAAGCTCGTTGTCGTTTTCGTCCAGTGCCGCAACGTTACCGTTCATGAACTTCTTCAAGCCCATGATCTCCAGCTACGTGTCATGTCGACCCTCCAGCCGCTTGTGCACGATGATCTTGTTCTCGGAAAACTTAAAGTAGTTGTATGTCAGCGCGACGATGCCGTCCCAGCTGGCCGCAGCTCAGGACAAACGCGGCTTGCCAACGTCGCAAGTCGGCAACGTGCCAATGCGGCTTGAAATCGGCTTGACAACACTACAAGTAGGCGACCTGCCAGCGTAGCACCAGGGTGGCTTGACAATGCTGCATCAAGGCGGCTTGCCATCGTTGCAACCGCATGTGATGACGTGCGCACATGTACGCACCTACCATCTAGGTGCATGTAGATGGCTGGGCACGTCGTGCACCGCTACGCGCATTGCGCACGTGCAAAGTCGACCATATGTCGATGCTTGCTGCAGATACATCATGTCGAGCGCGTGATGTCGCCACGCAGGTCGACTCCACCAAAACCACCTGGGGCGAAGTCCGCGCACTCCCGCAAGACTTTGTCGATCAGCTTACATAGTCAACCAAAGAAGGCCATTAAGGTCTGTGCCGACTTGACAACCGGTCAACGCCCCCAGGTCGAAGAACGCCTTCTTCGAACGCCCAGGCCAAACCAGTCCGCCAACTTTGCCCTGTCGGCGCCGTCGTAGTGGTCCCCCCCGAAGTCGACTTCCTTCCCCAAGTCAGCTCGACTGCTAAAGGCAGCCGGCTGCACCTCCAACGCACCCGACTGCGAAGAAGGCTTCGGCCAAGCGAGTGCGGGGCCAAATCCCATCAACGCTCACGACATTCGCCTCGACACTGTTCTCATCACCACAACTGTCACGAGCAAACTACTTCGCTCTGCTCGTAACCTGCATTTGAGTCCTATGCCTCGCCAATTTCCTAGCTTTTGCGCTCGGCCTGACGGGGCACCCTTTGTTAGCACTCGTTACGCTACCGTTGCTCCCCCGCATATAGTACGGTAAAACTTATGTTTTTGCAAAATCTACCATTTGATGATATGATGTACAAGTTGGAATAATTGAATAAAACTGCAGGATCTCCGGCAGGGCTCAGGTTTGGTTTTGGCCTACTCATGATTGGCAGTGTAGCTTTTTCAAAAACCCTTATGGGCAGTGTGTACTTTTCCATTACACTGATAGAGCAGTGTAACATCAGGTTTTGAAATTTTTACCCTGCATCATCAGTGTGGTTTTATTTCAAGCACTGACCATGTGTAAATTAGGTGTGTATGACAGGTGGCGAGAAAGTTATCTGCCTCCCAGGTCCCCTGCCCCCTCGATCGATTGTTTGTGAGGGGCGGGGGGGAAGGGGAGGACTTACAAAATTGGCGACAATTTCGCCTCCCCTTCCCCCTCGATCGATTGTTTGTGAGGGGCGGGGGGGAAGGGGAGGACTTACGAAATTGGCGACAATTTCGCCTCCCCTTCCCCCTCGATCGATTGTTTGTGAGGGGCGGGGGGGGAAGGGGAGGACTTACGAAATTGGCGAGAATTTCGCCTCCCCTCCCCCTCGACCGATTGTTTGTGGGGAAGGGGGGGGAGGGGGGGGGGGGGGGTGGGGGGGGGGAGGGAGGGGGTGGGTGTGGGGGTCCGTGTACGCTCTTCAGTGTAATCCTCGCTAAGGGAAACTTTACCCCAAGGCATCAGTGTGGCCTACATCGATACACTTACTGATCAGTGTAACACTAACTCATAAAAAAATTACCCCAGCACATCAGTGTAGACCCAAAATTTCACCCTTGTAATCAGTGTAGAAGGGTAAATTACACTGATAACCTGAGCCCTGATCTCCGGGTGTTCAACTACTTAAACTTAGAATTAGCCAGCATTATAGCACAGCGGCAACACTTCAGACGCAAGTTTATCTAGATCCTGCCCTACTCAGGACTCCTAAGTCCGAGCCTTACTCCCACCCTTGGAGGGGCTTCAATGTGAGCCCATTGCTCACATCCACGCAGTGCATGAGCGGCACATGCGGGTCCTGAGCCAACACCTGCTCCAGCTCTTGCGCCTGCCCATCCGGGCAGCGCTCGTTCCCCGGTGGGAAGTGCAGGCACGGCTCGGGCGGCGCTCGCTTGCACATGGCACTGATGAAGGTGGTGCGGGGCACGCCGAAGAGCGAGGCGCAGAGGTAGCCGAAGGTGGAGACCTCGGAGATGACGAGGGCATCGGAGAAGAGCGCGAGTGTGTAGATGTCCACAATCGCCCTGTCGACACCGGCTTTATCGCCGTTGTTTTGCTTCTCGTCGATCGTCAGCCGGACTATGTGCACGTGGTCGTATGACGTGCTGTTGCTCGCATTCGTCGCTTCACTTGCATCTGGCATTTGAGTTTCAGGAGACGTGGCAGGAGCAGCAGCAGGAGAAGCAAGGGCAGAAGCAAGAGCAGGAGAAGCAGCAGAGGTGGTGTTAATGGGCGGTAACTTAACACCCATGGCAGCATGTGTGACGTCATGCCCCACACTCACTCTCACTGCACTCATGTTGCCTGTCACTGCCTCTGACAGGTTATGCACCAGAGCAGCATTCAGGGACGCCACCAATACCTCTGTCACATTGCCTGATAACTCCTCTAACCCATAGTCATCCCCACTGCCGCCGCTGCTGCTGCCATTGCTTGCAAACGCTCTTCCTAACTCCCCTCCGTCCCCCACCCCCCTCCCTTCCCAGCCCTCTCCTCCCTTCGCCCCAAGTCTCATCTCCCTGGCCTCCTGCAGGACCGACGAGTTGAGAGCATCCAGCAGGCACCGACCCATGTTCACCGTGTCGTACCGCAGTCGACCTTCGTTGGCATGCGTGGGGAAGCGGCCCTGCAGGCCCACACGAGCGGGCGCGGGGGCGATGAGGGAGTGGAAGCGGTGGGTGATTTGCACCCAGATGCGGTTGCGGGGGAAGAGGAGGATGCGGGAGAGAGAGCGGAAGGGCTGGTTGGAGGGGAAGAGGAGGAGCAGGCGGCGGCGGAAGGAGGGGATAAGGTAGAGGGCGGGGAGGAAGTATTGGTTGGAGGAGAGGAGCAGCGTGGCCGTGCGGGAGAGCCATTTCTGCTCGGATTCGCAGAAAAAGAGTTGACCGGATCGAGAGGTTGTGTGAAAGATGTTCACCTTTAGACTGGGGAAAGCGTAGGGGGAATGGAGTGAGGGTTGGGGGGGAAAGGGGAAGGAAGTAAGCGGGAATTCGGGGAGTGAGGGGGTGTGGGAGTTTGTTGTGAGGCAGACAAGAAGAAGCTGCAGAGGAGTGGGTTTCTGTTGATTATGTCCACTCAATGACTAGCAGGGGGGGGTGGAGGTGACAGAAAGATACGAGAGGTCACGTGGGAGGGATGAAAGGGGAATGGAGAAGTTAAGGATTGGAGTTATGAGGGAGGGAAGGGGGGAGCATGGGAGTTGGGACTTTGGGACTCAGAGGCAGACAAGGGGCGGAGAGACAACAACACAACGAGGGGAGTGTTGAGTGATGGTATGGCACTACCGTTGATTCGCCATGGCAATTGTACAGACACATGGTCATGGCACACACAATGGAATGAGATGGTATGTCATGGTATGTCATGGTCGGTCATGGTATGTCATCATATGGCATAGGGCAGCATGGGATGGCATTGGTATGGATGACGTACATTGGTGGTACTTCGTCCTCCCCTTCTGCTGGCATTGCGGATGGTGGGGGGGAAGGCGGAGGAGGTAAAGGTGGGGGTGGGGTTGGGGGAGGGGGTGGTGGTGCTGCAGGGGGTGGGGGTTGTGCTGCTGCAGCTGCCTCTGCTGGTGGTGGCGTTGGTGACGTTGGTGGTGCTGGTGGTGGTGGCGGCAGTGCAGTGGTTGGCAGTGGTGTGGTGGGCATGCGAAGAATCGGTGGGGTGGGGGGTGGAGGGGGAGGGGGAGGTACGGGTGGGGATTGAAGTGATGGGGGTATTGAGGGAGGAAACATTGGAGAGGTGGGTGTAGAAACTGTTGCTGCTACTGGCGGTGGTGGTGGTGGCGGCGCTGTTGGTGGTGGCGGTGGTACTGCTGCTGCTGCTGTTGGTGGTGATGGTGGTGCTGGCGTGTTTGGATTTACATTTTGTAGCAAACGTCGCTCCCCTCCCAACTCCCCTAACCACTGCTCTTGCCGCTGCACCAATCCTTCCACCAGCCTCCTCCGCCCACCTCCCTTCTTCCCCTTCTTCTCCCTTCCCTCCCTCACCTCCCTCCACTCCTTGGCCACCTTCAGCCCCAGCACTTGCGCGTGATGCTCCTCCAACTTCTCCTCCCTCCCAAACAGCACCCACGACTCGCCGTGCTCAAACGGTTCACACAGCACAGCAGCAGGGCCACTCTTAGAGCTGAGAAGGAAGACCCGATCGGTTAGCAGCGCGTAGGCAAAGGAGGAAACGAGGGAGAGCAGCCGGTTGCCCTGGCCGTCGGAGGAGTGGTAGTAGATGAGGTAGCGGCACGCGGTGGGCTTGCCGGCCAGCAGGGTGGAGCGCAGCTGGTCGAGGGGCTCGCGGTGGAGGCACTCGCGGCGGTACGTGTGGTACTGGCGTAGCTTCACCTGCAGGTGCTCCGACATCCCTTGCTGCCGCTGCTGCTGTTCACTCTGCCCAGCTGTCTCGGAGAATAACCTGTCTGTGTTTTCTTCGCCTGGTTGTTGCTCTTGCTGTGCCCACGTGTGCCTGCTGATGCCAGCGTAGCAAGGCAGCTCCGCTCGGCTCCAGCACTCCCCCGCCCGCCGCTCGTAGTGCCGGTGGTGTCCCCACTCGCCCGCACTGCTGGTTCTGGCAGTGGAGTTATCAACAGTGGGGGAGGTGGAGTTTAAGAAGGTGTTCTTCGAATCGGAGATGGAGGGGGGAGCCGCAGATGTGGCAGGTGAGGCGGGCGAGTCGGTGGTGGGCGTGAGAGCCACTCCTGCTGCCAAGATGTCCGCACAGTCTGGTAGAGGGCGGAGGAGCGGGAGAGGGAGGGGGGAGGGGAGATGAAGGGGGGTGTGAGGCTGGTGTGAGGTATGGTGCGAGTTGTGGTGCAAGTTGTGGTGCGAGGTGTGGTGTGAGGGTGGTGTGAGGCGCGAGTGTCAGAATCACAATCACTGGACCATTGGGATAAAATTGCTTGTCAATGCGCACATAACACCCCAGCCCAGCGAGCTTGTAACTCTTCCCTAGGACCAATCGGGCATCCCCAGTGCTGGTCTACTGACACCCCCCCTCTCACAGGAATGCCCTAGGGCAGCACACAGCGGCAGCGCCAGCATGTGCACACTTGCAGATTCGAACCCGAAACCTTCGCTCTGATACCATGTCAGAATACCAGTCATTGGACCACTGGGATAAAATGGCTTGTTAAGTAGCGAATCACCAAGGTAAGCGAGCCTGTAACCCTTTTCTAGGATCAATCGGGCATCTCCAGTGCTGGTCTTTTGACAGCGAGGGTGTGTGAGCGTGGTGTGGTGCGAGAGTGGCGCGAAAGTGGTGTGAGGGTGGTGTCTGGATAGTGTCAGGGTGGTGTGAGGGTGGTGTGAGTGTGGTGAGGGTGGTGTGGGGGTGGTGTAAAAGTGGTGTAAGGGTGGTGTGGGGGTTGTGTGAGGCTGGTGTGAGGTGCGGTACGAGGTGTGGTGTGTGGGTGGTGAGAGGGTGGTGTGAGGGTGGCGCGAGGGTGAGTGAGGGTGGTGTGAGGGTGGTGCGAGAGTGGCGCGAGGGTGCTGTGAGGGTGGTGTGAGGGTGGTGTGAGGGTGGTGTGAAGGTGGTGTGAGGGTGGTGTGTGGGTGGTGTGAGGGTGGTGAGGGTGGCGTGGGGGTGGTGTGAAAGTGGTGTGAGGGTGGTGCGAGGGTGGTGTGGGGGTGGTGTAATGGTGGTGCACGGGGAAGCGTTGGAGGCAAAAGGGGCTCGTGAGGCGGACCACTAAGCACCGCTCTGCATTACATCATATTGCCTCAAAGCCCTTGCTTTTCAACTGCTTAACAGGAGGCTTTGGGGTTTGTGAGGCAGAACACTCAGCACCATTCAGCGCCACTCAAACTAATCAGCACTACTCAGCTCAGCACCCTCAGAAGCACTCAGCACCACGCAGCAGCATTCAGCACCACTCAGCAGCACTCAGCAGCACTCAGAAGCACCCAGCACCACTCAGAAGCACTCAGAACCAGCACAGCACAGCAGGCGGACGTACCTCTGAGGCCGCGGTGGTCCCCAGCCAGCCCCCATGCAACGGCAATGCACGCCGCCGCACACGCTGCAAGCAGCAGCAAGCGGCACAGCTGCAGCACCCCCTCACGCCTTAACAGCCGCCCATGGTGGGCCGGCTGCTGCACGTGCTGCCGAGTAGCCTGGCAACGAGCAGAGCATTGCAGGCTGTCAGGAGGCCAAGGCGGCCCTGCTGATTCGCCAACTCCTTGGACTCCCAGTGCTGCCTCCACGTGAGTGTGCGCGCTTTGAGACGTCTCAAATCCCCAAGGCGACCCTGCCGGCTCGCCAACTCCTTGCACTCCCAGTGCTGCCTCCACGCGAGTATGCGCGCTTTCAGCCATACTTGTGGGAGGTTCCCAACTGATGGGGTCGAGCTAGCAATCACGGATTTCAGCATCTTGCGGCCCGTGCTGCTGCAGCCATGTGTGGATCAAGAAGCCGCGGTGAGAAGGCGAGCAGCAGTGTGAAGCGGTGAGCGGTGGCGTGAATTGCGCACTAGCATGAATTGCGTGCTGGTATAATGACCCCGGGAAAAGGAGGGGATGGCGGGGAGGGCGACGAGTAAGGGAGGGAGGAAACGGCTGGCTCAATTTGCTTACAGAACGCCCCGGTAGGTACCCACTGAGTCAAAACGAGCGTGCTATATAGAGGCGCAGCGGATGCCCTTCAACCCTTGAGGCAAGCCCGGCCACAGGCGCTACAGCTTGGGCCCTTCAACCGATGCCGCGCCAGCAGTGAGCTGAAGGCTACAGCTTGGGTGAGGTGAGGATGTGCCGCTCACTGCTGGCGCTACAGCTTGGGTGAGGATGTGCCGCTCACCGCTGGCGCTACAGCTTGGGTGAGGATGTGCCGCTCACCGCTGGCGCTACAGCTTGGGTGAGGATGTGCCGCTCACCGCTGGCGCTACAGCTTGGGTGAGGATGTGCCGCTCACCGCTGGCGCTACAGCTTGGCCGGGGATGTGCCGCTCACCGCTGGCGCTCAATGCACGGATGGCTGCCGCATGGCGTGACGAGCGCTGCTGCTACAGAGGAGGGCGATCGAGAAGAGGGAAGGACCAGCGCAGGCGGGAGGAGAGGAAAGTAGGGCGCAGAAACTAGCGGGGTGGGGGGCGGCGGGGAGAGAGGCGCGCGGAATGCGCGGAACGCAAGGTATGAAGACCGGGGCCGCGCGGCGGAAGGCAGAAGGGGAGGGTGGCGGCGATGGGAGGAGACGAGGGGAGAAGCGGGAGCGTAAAGCAGAAGGGACGGGAGGGCGGCGGGCTGCAGGAACTGGTGGGGGGTTGAGGATGAGCGCAAGAGAATCTCCGCGGAGTTAACAGGTGCAGGGTGTACTTGTCACGTGGCGGGCGGGGCGCGGAGGGGGGCGGGACTGGCTGCGCCGCGCGGCGGGGGAACAGCGCGCGATGCAGGGAGCGGAGTCAACGGCGAAATCGTGCCCAGGGGACTCCGGCGCTCTTCGAACAAGAAGCGAGGCAATTGAACCCCGCGGCGCGCGAAGTAAATTGTGAAAAAGGCGAGCCGCGCGCAAAAATACGTTCACTACTCCTGCGATGGCGGGAATGAAGGTGAACGCACGCAGCCGACAGCAGGGGGTCCCAGGGGTGGAGGGCGGTGTAGAGTGTCCCACAAGTACCAAAAACACAACCATACACGAAACAACTTTTCCTTACGTTGAGTCGCATCGCATACCGCGTATGGAAATATTCCCGCCACTGTACACCCAAGGGTAGCCCATTGCCACATCGCGACACTTGCTTTGACACCGTTCCCGCCGCCACGACTCTCGTTCTCAAACTACCCGGTCAGCTAGTAGCCCGCAACCCAGCCCTACGCCTCTAAGAGCGTGTTACGCACCCGGTTGCCTCAAAAAGTCGACCCAACCTGACTGGTCGGGTCGACCGGGCTGTAAATCTGGCTGGTTTGATGCCAAGCAGGCAACCTGCAAATGTACCACCCGCCTGTTTTTGGGACCCAACCATGCAAAAAGTATTACGAGTAGACCCAACAGTTCGTGCGTCAATATTACTAGCCAACCTTCGATGGGAAAGTTTCTTCCACCATTCACATTGAGTCTCGCTAGTGCGACCTGCCCGCAAATGTTTTTGGTACCCCCGGTTGCACACCAGGTTGGTACGTTGCAGCTTGGTTGCCTCAACCTGGTTGTATGTGTGGCTTGTACACGTCCTTTACTGTACACTGTACAATCTAGGGTAATCTAGTAACCCTACGTTCAACCCAACCCGATTTCGAGGCAACCGCGACCAGGCCCCAAAATAAGGGGTACGTAACACGCTCTAACCTCAGCATCAAGCCCGTACGGAATGATCGAAGAATATACAGCAAAGCTAGCGTGGTAACAGTAACGTTAGCAATTAGAGTGCGCTACGGGCCTGGCACCGATGTTGGGAATGTCAAGATTAGGAGCAGGAATGAATGAACTATCAGAGAGTATGGTACAAATACAAACCCTAAAGGGGTTGTACCCCATTTTGGCTTCCCCACTACAGCCTACACATTATAGCACCACATATATAGTTTGACACACCCCCATAGGCAAAGTGGGGGAGAACAAGGGGTCACACGACCAGTCAAGAAAAGCAAAGCAAGCTCAGGGTGGATCACAACGTCACCACACACACTGAGCACAAGCAAAAGGCCACAAGGCCAGTTCACATGCAGAGGTATATATGCAACAACAACAGTACAGTGATCACTACCTAGCAAGAGTAAGCATGCAGGCATATATATATATTGATCACAGTACAAGCAAAGCCTACAGCAAGTGAGGAAACGTAGGCACCAGGCCTAGAGCAGTGCAGAGGCGCTGATGATCACCAGCCGTAAGGGCCTTGGTGAACACATCAGCTGTGTTGGCCCGGGTGGGCCATGAACGACACGAAGCTGACCACGCTGCTGCAACTCTCGAGCAAGGAAGTAACGCAGAGCGATGTGCTTCGTTCTGTGCTCCAGTCTGTGGTCCTCACACAAGGCAATGGCAGCCTTGTTGTCGACGTACAGAACTGGAGGAGAACGAGGCCTCTCTCCCAAGTCGGTCAGCAGGTAGGTGAGCCAGCGTAACTCCTGTGCAGCCATGGCTGTGACGTAGATCTCAGCTTCACAACTGGAGCTGAGAACAGAAGACGAGCGTGTAGACCGCCAAGAAATAGAGCCGGAGCCAAGGCTGAAGGTGTAACCCTGTGACGACCGCTGCGTAGCTAGGTCGTCAACCCAAGAAGCGTCTGAGTGTCCAGTAAGGACAACGTCACCCCGTCCTCCAAGCACGAGCCCCATGCCCGATGTACTGCACAAGTAGCGCAACACCCTCTTAGCAGCATCCATGTGCACCTTTCGGTGCCTACCAGGAGCCACGTAGCATACCAGAAGGCCATG